CACAGCGCCTTCAATAATAGTTGCAATAATTATGATGACAGTGACAAAGTTGCGGTATTTTTAATATTGCTAAATTCTCTGGTTTAAAAATAAAAAGAGACTATGTGGATATATTTGTTCAGTGGCACAGGTGGTGATGGGGCGTCTACAACACACCAGGTGGCGTACCGCGGTTCTCGGTGCGTATACACTGAGAACATACTTTACTGATGAGCCATGTTCAGGATTAACCTATACTTGCTGGTTGGTCAGTATAGGCTATCGTGGTGACCTTCATAACCCTCCAGAAGTCGATAAGCCTTAAGCCCAACACCAACCAGAACACTGTTGTGGGTTCGTATCCTGGCCGGGGAGGATTTACTAGGCGCAATTCCTTAACTGTAGCTTCTGTTTAACGCAACAGTAAAATGTGTACTTGGTTGTAACAACGATTCTTCGCGGCAGGGGATCGTATTCCAGGGACCTGCCCGCAACGCTACGCGTACTAGTGGCTGTACAAGAATGTAACAACTCTTGTATATATCTCAAAAAAAAAAATTAATGGTACGAATAAAAGCATAACAAACAGTATCAAGGCCTATTGGCCCAAGTAATAATATATACACCGAGAGGTATATAATCTCTCTGTATATACACAGAATGTATACTTCAGTCCTGAACAATCTTAAGTTCAAAACAGTATTCCCCAAACGACTTTTGAAAGATTGGAGATCAATCTTGTTAAGGACTGATAAAAGACCTCAGTTATGGTACCGTTTGTTCTCCGGTATTGCGAAAAGCTGTGTTTGTTTGGTTAGGATTCACTAACCACTTACGACACCTGTACCTCTCATCTCGATCATGGTGGCTTAGTCGGAAATTACTAAACAGTTTACGAACTCTGAAACGCTACGAGGCTCTCGTAACAATTTTATAACCTATGTTTGAGGACGATTTCAACGCTTAGAAGCTCGCAAGCTCTTTAATGAATGCCAAACAAGGCGCCATGATAGTGGTACCAGGTACAGATCTCGTTAGCTGTGAATCCTGCCCCCCGGGGTCTCAAGGGTGCCGGAGGACCACCATCATCACCCCTCAGTGTCACAAGCGTGGAGGCTCACCTTCGTCGCTCCTGGAGGCGTACTGGTACCACATGGTGGCGTAGGAGATGAGGGTGTCGGCGAAGGAGTTGACCTTGGAGACGTCGGTGTACTCAGCGTACTTCTCCTGCCACTGTGCGCCCGCCGACGCCCGCCACCCGACGGAGTCCGTCTGCGTCGACAACGCCTTGGGATCTCCAACAGATGCTGAAGAATAGACGTATGCAGACGAGGAGTCACAATAACGTGGGTGAAATATATTGACCAAACCACACACTCTAGAAAGTGAAGGGACGACGACGTTTCGGTCCGTCCTGGACCATTCTCAAGTCGATTGTCACTCACAATCGACTTGAGAATGGTCCTGGACGGACCGAAACGTCGTCGTCGTCCCTTCGCCTTCTAGTGTGTGGTTTGGTCAACAATAGACACATAACGCACATGTGTTTATTAACAAGTTTAGGTCCACAGAGCAGTGTGCTGCTACCCTATGGTATACGATGTATTACCGAACATAGATCAAGAGGACAAGAAACTATTGCTTTTATCACATGATCCATGGAAGCATATTAAGAAGCCTCGTAGCTGAACGGACCACATACGTTATTTTCCTTATGTGTTGAGACATTATTGTAAGATGTGTGGGAATGTTTAGTGAAGGTGATGAATGTCTTCTTCTTGGGTGAGAATCGTGGGCTTGTTGAATTAATACTTAGCATGGTTCACCATGCATGTTGAGTTAATTGTTCTTGAACATATCACTCAAGCTTGGAAGTTTATCAGTCTGGACAAAGCATTATATGTAAATATATTCCGACTATTTTAGTGAGAGTATTATACATTCATAGATGCCGTTGTACATGGGAATAAGATTTACAGATACTGGATAGAATATAATTGCTCTTTGAATAAGAATTTCTTACATCTGAGTAGCAATTCAGCTTTGGCCTCCTGTGCTATATTACAATATGGCGAAATGATTTTGATTTCCATTCTCACGGACAAAGTCAGTTAGGATTTCATCACTCCATCCTCATATCTCAGTCCCTTCATATCCTAGTCCCTTGTCCTCATATTCTAGTCCCTTGTCCTCATATCCCAGTCCCTTGTCCTCATATCCCAGTCCCTTGTCCTCATATCCCAGTCCTTTGTCCTCATATCCCAGTCCCTTGTCCTCATATCCCAGTCCCTTGTCCTCATATCCCAGTCCCTTGTCCTCATATCCCAGTTCTTTGTCCTCATATCCCAGTTCTTTGTCCTCATATCCCAGTCCCTTGTCCTCATATCCCAGTTCCTTGTCCTTATATCCCAGTTCCTTGTCCTTATATCCCAGTCCCTTGTTCTCATATCCCAGTTCCTTGTCCTTATATCCCAGTTCCTTGTCCTTATATCCCAGTCCCTTGTCCTCATATCCCAGTCCCTTGCCCTTCATATCCCAGCCTCTTGCTCTCATATCCCAGCTCCTTACTGTCATGTTCCTAAAACGTGTTATTCAGTTATTCTGGCTTAGTGCTTCCTCCTGACAATTGCCTTATCTGGTAGGAACATTATGGGAACAAATAAAGCATTTACTTACACACTGAGAACCTCTTCCGGTCTCTCTTGACAGCGCAGGCTTGGATGAAGAAGAGTTTGGGCTTCTTGACGAACCACTCGATCTCGGTGAAGGGTTCGATGAGGTCAAGGCGGCGGTGGATCTGACCGTCCTTCACGTTGAGGTAAGTCTTGTCCCCGTGGCCCATGAACCACACCATCAGGCTGCATGGAACACGGTGTTACTGGGTAAATGAACTCTTGGAGGCTTGCGAGTGTTTACGTCTGCGTGTACTCCGAGTGAGGTTGAAGGTCAAAGAGTGATCAGTCAGGGAGGGTTAAAGAGGCTTGTCGAAGGGTGTGGTGAATGCTCGTCAGCTTGGCTACAGTGGACTGAACTGGTGTAAGAATTCTGATGGAAGTCTTTGGAGGCCAAGGGAGTAGAAAGAGTGAACGGGGAAAGAACAGAGGAAAAGGGTGAAAGGGGAGGAAGAATGAGAGAGAGAGAGAGAGAAGGGGGTGTTTTAGAGTAGAGATGGCGAGCGAGAAATATGAGGCCAGTTAAGTATGAGTCACAAGCAAAGTCTTAAATAATTGGGATTACCATATTTGCTTGATACTCTAGCTTCTAGAGACGGAGTCTAGAGAAAGAAATATATATTTATAAACTGCAAATACAATATTGATGTAATGATAGCTTAATACATTAATGTATCAACCACAACTGTACTTAAGTGGTTAACTTACCTGTCATAAAACTTGTTCCTGGCTGCCTTCAGTTTACTGACAATAATCTTGACGTCCTCGGCCGTCGGGTCCTTCTTCACGAACACGTCGTACATGAAGTCCTTTTCAAACAGTTCCCTGACCTTCGCGAGGTCCTTTGGCGCCCCTACGCGGTTTTCTAGCATGATAAATATGAGACAGAGACCCGGAGGGCGAGACGCTACCGGATATCGTTGGAGGTTAGAGAGGACGCGGTCTATGTCAGGATTGGGGGTGTTCGTCCTCTCATTCATCTGTTGTATCTGATGGAAGATGAAGGAGAGTTTGTGCGTGTAGAGCCTGTTGAGCATCTGCTTCCTCATGAGGTTCAGTATGAGATAATAGAAGGCTACGTCCTTCAGCCCCGCCACGCTCTTCAGGGCCTTAAGATCGACAGGCTGCGACAGGAGGTCCTGTATGTCATCCCGCTCGACAGCCTTCGACACCCTCAGCACTTCGTACATTTGGAAGACATCGTCTGGAGTGAGACAGTTGCAAACTTTCATCATGATTTTGTTTTCAGCGTAAACGAAGAACGTCTTTTTGCTGACGCTTCCAAAATCTGCCCTGACGGGGATTTTCTTGGAGGCGATGATGTTGCCGAAGTTGCTTTTGATGGACTCTGGCGCTGAGTAGTTGAACATCTCGAAGATTTCTGTGAACTCCAAAATGTCCTCTTCATCGTTGCTCAGCTGGTCGCTCTCATCGGAGAAATTGCTTTCCAGCGTAGAAAGGCTGTTGGTGCTGCAGAGCTCCACGCTCGACAGCTTCAGTAGCCGCAGCTGCAGCTCACGGCGCACCGGACTGATGGACCTTTCTTCCAGGGCTTTCTGCAAGCACAGGAAATAATTTTACAACAAACTGAGCACTCTGTCAAATCCTTCATGCATAGTTCCAGCACTAATACATATTTTTTTCTTGTTATTCTTTATTCTTGTTTGAATTAATATTAATAAAACTATCTTGTATTTACTCTCAATATCTCCATTGATGTACGGTAAGGTAATTATGAGGAGAAAACACTAAGCCAATATGACTAGCACTTGAGAGGGGATATGAAGACAAGGAGCTGGGAAATGAGGACGGTGCCTAAGCACTTCAACCAGCGGGAATCGAACTCCGACCGTGCGAGAAGCGAGGCCTTCGCTCTACCGTCCAGTCCAAGCGGATAGACTTGGCTGCACAGCCATATCATACCTCAAATTTCTGAAGCAACCTGGCGATGGAATCCGACCCGCCTTCGGACTTGAAGTCCCCCGTGGTGTGGGTGGAGCCGACTCCCAGCGTGTCGCCGTCGGTGAAGATGGAGTTGGACCCCACGGCGCCCTCTGCTTCCTCCTCCACCTGCAACACTTATACTTTTCTTCCTGCCAGAGACTTGGTACCGGTTGACGGGGGGTGGGGACAGCCCAAGCTAGTACGAGCATAGTCTGAGGACGGTTGGGTTGATTGATGAAGATTAAGCCACCCAAGAGGTGGCACGGGCATGAATAGTCCGTAAGATCGGTTGGGATAGGAGTCCCCCTGTCATACTGTCCTGTGACGCTTACTATGTGTCTGTGGACAGCTTGGGGTCAGCCGAAGCTTGTACAAGCATAGTCTGATGATGGGATGGGGTCAGCCGAAGCTTGTACAAGCATAGTTTGATGATGGGATGGGGTCAGCCGAAGCTTGTACAAGCATAGTCTGATGATAGGATGGGGTCAGCCGAAGCTTGTACAAGGATAGTCTGATGATGGGATGGGGTCAGCCGAAGCTTGTACAAGCATAGTCTGATGATAGGATGGGGTCAGCCGAAGCTTGTACAAGCATAGTCTGATGATAGGATGGGGTCAGCCGAAGCTTGTACAAGCATAGTCTGATGATAGGATGGGGTCAGCCGAAGCTTGTACAAGGATAGTCTGATGATAGGATGGGGTCAGCCGAAGCTTGTACAAGCATAGTTTGATGATGGGATGGGGTCAGCCGAAGCTTGTACAAGCATAGTCTGATGATAGGATGGGGTCAGCCGAAGCTTGTACAAGGATAGTTTGATGATGGGATGGGGTCAGCCGAAGCTTGTACAAGCATAGTCTGATGATAGGATGGAGTCAATGTTTATGTAATGTAAATTCCTTACATAAACTTTACAAATACACAAGTGTGGGTTTTTATACTATGTTATTATGTCTGTGAGAAGGCATTACTAATACTAATACTATTAATAATAATAATAATAATAATAATAATAATAAAATAATAGTAATAATATAATCGTATACATATATTTTTACAGTTACCATCTCTAACTACTAATTCAATAACGTTGTTTACATAAATTTATAAGACTGACCTTGTTTGGGTTGACGGAGAGGAAGAGCATTTTTGGAACCTCATCATCTCTGACCTTGGAGAGGAACTCTCGATCTGAAAGTGAAAGTATGGTTGGTGATCAACCAGGCTGTGACTCATACGTCAGGCTGCGAGCAGCCGCGTCCAACAGCCTGGTTGATCAGTCCAGCAACCAGGAGGCCTGGTCAACGACCGGGCCGCGGGGACGCTAAGCCCCGGAAGCACCTCAAGGTAAGGTGGTTTGGTGTTAGACTTAAGGCCTATCAACCTCTGGAGGGTTATTAAGACCACAATACCATACTGACCAACCAGCGAGTATATATATATACATACACTCAGTGTACATACACCTCTTGGTGCGTATATCCCGGAACGCCAAACACACACACACACACACACACACACACACACACACACACACACACACACACACACACACACACACACACACACACACACACACACACACATACACACACACACTCAGAGACCTGATAGCTGAGTGGACAGCGCTCTGCACTCATAATCCTCGGGTCTGGGTTCGATCCCCAGTGAAGGCAGAAATAAAATGGGGCAGAGTTTCTTTCACCCTCATATGCCCCTGTTACCTAGCAGTAAATAGGTATCTGGGAGTTAGACAGCTGTTGCGGGCTGTTTCCTGGGTGTGTGTGAAAAAAATAGTAGTTAATAACAGTTGATTGACAGTTGCGAGGCGGGTCGAAAGAGCAGAGCTCAACCCCCGCAAGCACAACTAGGTGAATATACACACTCACACAGTCACACACTCACACACTCACCATCATTTCTTTATATGTGAGAGCACTTTGCATTATTGGTTCCGAATTTCTGGATGAATGGATACCAACGTAATTCTGCTAATGTGTGTGTGTGTACTCATCTAGGTGTGCTTGCAGGGGGTTGAGCTCTGGCTCTTTGGTCCTGCCTCTCAACCGTCCATCTACTGGGATACTGATTCCTGAGCCTACTGGGCTCTATCACATCTGCATTTGAAACCTGTGTATGGAGTCTGCCTCCACCACATCACTTCTTAGCCCTCCTAGTGTGTGTATGTGTGAGTGATCTGAGAGAGAAAGAAAGAGAAAGAGAGAGAGAGAGAGAGAGAGAGAGAGAGAGAGAGAGAGAGAGAGAGAGAGAGAGAGAGAGAGAGAGAGAGAGAGAGAGAGAAAGAGATAGGGTCGTTCATTACCAATTCCCCTGCACAACGGAAGGTAGGGAACGCCTTAACACATGTCAGGCTCGCTCACCCATTATCAGACGACCTGTTATGTCTTGTTCAGTGTCGTAACGTGATGTTCCGTGGTGCTCCTTACCACCTACTGGTGCTCCAACTGATACTTGCCGCCCCCTCACTGCTCCAGGGAGCTCCCTACTGATCCTCGAAGCTCGGCTCTTCCTGACAGTATGCTTCCTGATCGCCCTGCTGTACTATCTTCATGTATACGGACGTGTTTAAAATTATCTTATAAACAAGAAATGTTATCAGCGATAACGATGAATTTGGCTGACTAACAATTATATCCTTGATGAGTTTTGGACTGTGTGAAGTTAAGCGCGAAATTCCTTGAGCCACGGCTGACCTGGGGGTGGTCTGGGTCACCTGTGACTCAAGGAATTTGATGAATGATCCCAAGATGAGAGTTTACAGCATCACCCATCAATCACAGGTGACCTGAGATAACCCATCTCTTCCCAGATGAGAGCATACAGCATCGCGTAAATCATAAAAGGAAATACTACCAAGCTTTAGTACGGTGTGCTGCTCTCAGACAATTGGGGAATAATGTATATTTTTTACTTATTAAATAATGTTATTCTCATTTGGACATAATATTTCTGTTTTTCTAATTAAGCTAATTTTATGGAATTTAAGTTGAACATTGTTTTGCCGTTTTCTATACTGAAAAAGTATTTTTTATGTTTGTTTATAATAAATTATTGCGATTTATTGTGAAAAGTAATTATATATCTAACATCTCCACATAATAGAAAATGGCCTAGCAATTTAACCAGTCCTAGTGCTAACTATGTATATTTAATATAATTAAACCACTATGTAACATGAAAACTATTTACTTCAAATTCAGAGTAGAAGTTAGCAAGATGATAGCAGAGGAAAGGATGGCAGGTGCAAATGAGTGTTATCACTAGCAAAGATAGGATATCAGAGACCTGACACAGCGCAAGTCCTTCTATATAAACACCCACTAAGAGCTCTGGGTGGGACAATAGTGTACCACCCAGAGCTCTTGTGGACAACAGTGTCCCACCAGTAGATGTCCCGAGGACAGAATCTGTATGTGGATAATTCTTTGGGTCCTGAGGTTGCTGTGTCTGTCCGCCTGGCGCAAGAGGCTTCAAAGGCATAAGATCTAATCATGCTAAACAAATGCTCAATCATACACTTGTCTAAATGTTCCTAGTAGAAGGGGGTCACGACCCTCGATCCAACGACCATAGACTGGGGGATGAGTTGAGGTCGTCTGTCGCTTGAACGACCACAGCCTGAGGATAGACTGTAGAGCGCTGACACCGATGAACTTCGAGAGATCAGACATGTATTCCCAAGATGTATTACGCTTCTTTGTTAATGTACACGAAGTTCTAGACAATGTTTAAGTCTACAGATTTGTTGCTGGTTGGTCATCAAGGTGTTGTGGTGGACTTAATGACCCTCCCCTAGGTTCCGACGCCTTAAACCCAAGACCAAAGCAAGTCTTAGGTCTTGGGTTTACACTTTTCCTATATACAGCATGAAGAATAGACTAGGGTAACTGCTCTTGTATTATGTAGAGTGAAAGCAGTTAAATAAGGAGCAGATACTTCTAGGAGTCAAACATAGGTAATGTTACTTGGATTTCTCTTAAGACCAAACTCCTATAACGCCAGGGACATAAAGGAGTTCGGAGTCACACTCCAGTTAGTCGCTCTAAATGACTAATGGAGTGCCTTAGAAGCGGACGAACTCAAGGCAGGTCTACAACTTACTGTTTATGAGAAGGTACTCGCTGCTCTGTCGACATAGAGGGTCCATGACGACCTGCTGCTGCTGCAGGGTCACCGCCTCGTCTGCTCTACGAGTGATAACCAACTAGTGCAAGATCGCTGACTCGTCTCCTGCAAGACTGACGACCTGCAAGATCAGCGCCTGCTATCCTGCAGGGGCGACGACCAGCTGGTGAAGGATCACTACCGCCTCTACTTCATTGAAGACCAGCAAGTGGAAGATCACTACCGCCTTTACTTCATTGAAGACCAGCAAGTGGAAGATCACTACCGCCTCTACTTCATTGAAGACCAGCAAGTGGAAGATCACTACCGCCTCGCTCCAATTGGTGGACAATTGAGGGCACGAGCACACTATTACTGCTACTGCCTCTTGCCTTCGTTAACACGTGTTTATCTTATCACCTGGCATGTCAGGTGTTGCCTCAACATGTGTCTACCTGTGAGACGTCACCGCTCTTGTTATCCTCTTGTGGTAATTAAGCAATAACAAGCATGATGAAACTACTACAACTACTAAGACTGATAACAAATAATTTCGAAGAAGAGATAATTTTGATAAAATGATAATATTTGTAATAATGGTATTCGTCAAATTTCAGTGTTTATAGATAAGAGCACAAAAGTGCTGCTCTTGCTATCAGTAGTCATCAGATAACTGACCTGTGACGTGTTAAAGCAAGTAAATATAGATGTATAACATCTTTTTCCATCTTATTATTATTTTTATTATTATCATCAGTGTTTTTAATTTTATTATTATGTTGAAGAGGTAAAAAACATGATTGCAGTCTTTGGTGGTCTTAGTCTATATGACTCAGCAGTCATCATCAGTATGAATACCATCACCATCTCAGACAATCATCACCAGCAAGTTTGTCCTAAGTTGGAGCCAAGCAACTTGGGGCTAGCCTCACCCAAACTTGCAGTAGGAATGTTTTGGGGTATGGAACGGACATAGGCTGGTCAGAATCGCATTAAGGTCAATATTTCAAGAAATTTGAACATTAATTGACACCCCCATGCAGTTTTCATGGAATCGAGTCTGAAATATTTGGTATGTTTCCCATAGAGTTGTCAATAATCGTAATAATATATATTCTAAAAGACCCCCATATAGTTCTGAGAGGTCAATGCTTTCAGTGCTTCTAAATAATACATTTTCTGAGGGGAGAAGCTGAGGGACAGAAGAGGGGAAGGGGAGGACGAGGGGCGTGACAATGGGGGACCAAAGGGAATAAGACGAGGGGAAGATGGGGTTAAGAGAGGGGAAGAGACCTGGATGCAGTCGGCTTTTATATACATATAAATGGGAATGTCTGTGTGTTGGAGGGTGGTGACCAGGCGAGGAAGAGGGGCAAGAAAGGAGGAAAAAAGGGAAGAGAAAGGGAGGGTGGGGAGGGAAGATGGGGAGAAGGGTGGATGTAGGGAGACAGAAGGAAGAATTGTTGTAGGGGAGAGAGTCCCAGGTACCACAAGAAACCTCTCTAACAAGTGTTGCAGGATTTTAATTAAGGTTTCACAATAACTTTTAATTACATGAGTCAACAGTCTCATTTCCTGTTAATTAACACCTACTGTTTTTTTGGGTTGCATATTTATGATGGAAATGATGAATAATGTTTTGACTTTTGGAACTTTTCAAAAATTTCCAGATTGTTGATGTGGTTTTTAGGTTCAATAATTATTACTAAATTTATATATATATATATATATATATATATATATATATATATATATATATATATATATATATATATATATATATATATATATTGTTTTTATAAGTTTGTATGTTTATAAATTATTGTAGATTGCACGTGAAGAGTTTATGTTTATATAAAAATTAAATTGTGTCATCTGTGTCTCTGTCATCTCTGTCTCTGCCATCTATGTCTTCTGGCTCTGGTGTTCCTCACTTTGAACTCGGCTTCTTTGTCTATTTATATATCTGTAAGAATCTTATACGTTGTTATCATGTCCCCCGGCATACTTCCTGTCTTCCAGTGTGGTGATGTCCAAATCGTTTTAGATATACGAGAAAATACAATGTCTTAGAAGTGCGGTGCTGGCTAACCATCCATCTATATACATAACACAGAGTGTTTTGTAATTTCAGTGTATCTTGGGAGCAAGAATAACAAGCAATAAACTATCCCCTCTCTCTCTCTCCCTCTCCACAGCCTTTCAAAGCATTATTTCATACAAATTGCGCCATTAATATGAGGCTGGGCCTCTAGGATGGCGTGTTTACATCCGCCAGCAGCGAGCAAAACCTCTGATCCTTCACCGGGGATGTTTACGGATAATTCCCACCTCAAGCAGCAAGTTGAGCTGATAGAGATAGACAGAGGATGTCCGAATGAGCCAGCCATAAGGAACGTATTGGAACGTGAGGAAATGTAATGCTAATGATTATATTAATGGTTATTTGTGTGTGTTTATATGTGTTTTTGTGTGTTTACTACAAGCACTAAGCCACTGCATAGCCAGCCTATGTAGTGGTTTTTCACAACGTCGCTAAACTGATGTGTATTAAATGGCCTGAACTGATGTACTAAATTGCTGGTCGGGGAAGGTCTAAGGTTCTCACGGATTCAATTCTGGTCAAGTGTGAAATATGCGTTCAGATGTCCGAAGACTTTTTTGTCATAAGAAAAAATTAATTCTTTAAGCACAAAAATTACTTTCATTTGTCCATAATATTCTATATATTATGGAACCAGAGAACCAACGCCTAAGGGTACCCAGGTCGCGCCTGGTTCTATGCCAATCCTGCTTCGAAGATTATATCATAGATATATCATAGATATATCATGCTATTGTGATTTCCTTTGTGGGTGGGAAGGTGGACCACCATCCTCCAAGGATATCAGTAAACACATAGTTTTATGAAACTTTGTTTTCACTGTAAATGTCTCAGGCCGTCTTCCCTTCCTTGCCTGTGTTCTCCTCCAACTCTTGCCATTCCTGTCACCTCGGCCCCAGGAATCAAATCCAAATTAAAAAACACATGTGTTTGTAAGCCATTTAATAAGCCACGGTTTCTACGCTACTAACCTCAACGTAATAATTACAGTGATTTAATGAAATGAACAACGCCGCAAAATTGACGCTAAGAGGGGTGCTAGTGAGCATGAACCCTAGATATATTATAAGGGATGAGTTGTTTGTACTCTTATGGTCAGGACCAATTCACATTTTACGGTTTAAACCATTCTTCGGATTTTTCAGTCTGTCAGTGTTTTCAACTGTCACACACACACACACTAAGTGGATTGACAGTTGAGAGGCAGGACCAAAGAGCCAGAGCTCAACCCCCCGCAAGCACAACTAAGTGAGTACACACACACACACACACACACACACACACACACACACACACACACACACACACACACACACACACACACACACACACACACACACACACACACACACACACACACACACACACACACACACACACACACACACACACACACACACACACACACACACACACACACACACACACACACACACACACACACACACACACACATACACACACACCACAGGACTATTATGTTATGCGGAAAGAGAGGGAAGGAAGAGGTGGGGGTGGTGTAGCTCTGCTGGTAAGAAAAGGCTGGGATTTTGAGGAGATGGATATTCAGGGCTGTGAAGGTTTTAGTGACTACATAGCAGGTACTGTAACAAATGGAGGGAAAAAAATTATAGTCGCAGTCATATATAATCCACCACCAAATGACAGAAGACCTAGACAGGAATATGATAGAAACAACATGGCCACCATTAACATAATAGAAAGAGCAGCTTCTGTTGCTAGCAGGAATGGATCTGGACTACTAATTATGGGAGACTTCAACCATGGGAAGATAGATTGGAAGAACAGAGACCCGCATGGAGGACCAGAAACATGGAGAGCTAAGCTGCTGGACGTGGCAACAAGAAACTTTCTAAGCCAGCATACCAAAGAGCCAACAAGAATGAGAGGAGAAGATGAACCAGCAATGCTTGATTTGATATTTACCCTAAATGAATGGGATATAAGGGAAGTTAAGATGGAAGCGCCCTTGGGAATGAGTGACCACAGTGTATTGAACTTTGAGTACCTGGTAGAGCTAGGACTTATCTCCCCCCAAAAAGAACTAGGAATCAAAAGGCTGGCATACCGAAAGGGGAATTATGAACAGATGAGAAGTTTCCTAAGTGAAATACCTTGGGACACAGACCTCAGAGACAAGTCTGTACAGGGTATGATGGACTATGTTACACAAAAGTGTCAGGAGGCAGTAAACAGGTTCATCCCGGCCCAAAGGGAAAAATCCGAGAAGCAACAGAAGAATCCATGGTATAATTGGGCATGTATGGAAGCGAAGAAACTGAACAAAAAGGCGTGGAGGAACTTCCGGAATAACAGAACACCAGAAAGCAGGGAGAGATACCAGAGAACCAGGAATGAGTACGTCAGGGTGAGAAGAGAAGCAGAGAAAAATTTTGAAAATGATATAGCAAACAAAGCCAAGACCGAACCAAAGCTACTCCACAGTCACATCAGAAGGAAAACAACAGTGAAAGAACAGGTATTGAAACTTAGAACAGGCGAGGACAGGTATACAGAGAATGACAGAGAGGTGTGTGAGGAACTCAACAAGAGGTTCCAGGAGGTCTTCACAATAGAACAGGGTGAGGTCACTGTGCTAGGAGAAAGGGAGGTAAACCAGGCGGCCTTGGAGGAGTTCGAAATTACGAGAGAGGAGGTCAAGAGACACCTGCTGGATCTGGATGTTAGAAAGGCGGTTGGTCCAGATGGGATCTCACCATGGGTACTGAAAGAGTGTGCAGAGGCACTTTGCTTGCCACTCTCCATAGTGTATAGTAAATCACTAGAGACGGGAGACCTACCAGAAATATGGAAGACGGCGAATGTGGTCCCAATATACAATAAGGGCGACAGACAAGAGGCACTGAACTACAGGCCAGTGTCCTTGACTTGTATACCATGCAAGGTGATGGAGAAGATCGTGAGAAAAAACCTGGTAACACATCTGGAGAGAAGGGACTTCGTGACAAATCGCCAACATGGATTCAGGGAGGGTAAATCTTGCCTTACAGGCTTGATAGAATTCTACGATCAGGTGACACAGATTAAGCAAGAAAGAGAGGGCTGGGCGGACTGCATTTTCTTGGATTGTCGGAAAGCCTTTGACACAGTACCGCATAAGAGGCTGGTACATAAGCTGGAGAGACAGGCAGGTGTAGCTGGTACGGTGCTCCAGTGGATAAGGGAGTATCTAAGCAATAGGAAGCAGAGAGTTACGGTGAGGGGTGAGACCTCCGATTGGCGTGAAGTCACCAGTGGAGTCCCACAGGGCTCTGTACTCGGTCCTATCTTGTTTCTGATATATGTAAATGATCTCCCGGAGGGTATCGATTCATTTCTCTCAATGTTTGCGGACGATGCTAAAATTATGAGAAGGATTAAAACAGAAGAGGACTGTTTGAGGCTTCAAGAAGACCTAGACAAGCTGAAGGAATGGTCGAACAAATGGTTGTTAGAGTTTAACCCAACCAAATGTAATGTAATGAAGATAGGTGTAGGGAGCAGGAGGCCAGATACAAGGTATCATCTGGGAGAGGAAATTCTTCAGGAGTCAGAGAAGGAAAAAGACTTGGGGGTTGATATCACGCCAGACCTGTCTCCTGCAGCACATATCAAGCGGATAACATCAGCGGCATATGCCAGGCTGGCCAACATACGAACGGCATTCAGAAACTTGTGTAAAGAATCATTCAGAACTTTGTATACCACATATGTCAGGCCAATCCTGGAGTATGCAGCCCCAGCATGGAGTCCATATCTAGTCAAGGATAAGACTAAACTGGAAAAGGTTCAAAGGTTTGCCACCAGACTAGTACCCGAGCTGAGAGGTATGAGCTACGAGGAGAGACTACGGGACTTAAACCTCACTTCGCTGGAAGACAGAAGAGTTAGGGGGGACATGATCACCACATTCAAGATTCTGAAGGGGATTGATAGGGTAGATAAAGACAGTCTATTTAACACAAGGGGAACACACACAAGGGGACACAGGTGGAAACTGAGTGCCCAAATGAGCCACAGAGATATTAGAAAGAACTTTTTTAGTGTCAGAGTGGTTGACAAATGGAATGCATTAGGGGGTGATGTGGTGGAGGCTCACTCCATACACAGTTTCAAGTGTAGATATGACAGAGCCCGATAGGCTCAGGAATCTGTATACCTGTTGATTGACGGTTGAGAGGCGGGACCAAAGAGCCAGAGCTCAACCCCCGCAAACACAACTAGGTGAGTACAACTAGGTGAGTACACACATACACACACACACACACACACACACACACACACACACACACACACACACACACACACACACACACACACACACACACACACACACACACACACACACACACACACACACACACACACACACACAGGGTATCTTGAGAAGCACAATATATGCTAGAGTTAATTAACCCTTCGGCACCCTACAACTATGTAATTAACCTCTTAATTAACTAACCAGATTACAAACCAAATCGGATTACCACTGAGACGTAATACAGAAGACGTTGTTCACCGCATTGGATATAACATTACAGTAATCAATGTGAGTCATCAACACCCATCCACCACATTACTGTAACCAACATGAGTCCTCAACACCCATCAATGAGTACTGGTTCTTAACCTGAGTAAGCATACCTCTTGAGGGTATGGGAACCTAGTAATGGGGGGGTATATGGGACGCGATCTCTGAACAGTTAAAAAAAATTTGTTGCTAGATTAGAACTATCACAATCAGTAACTGTTCCTCGATTCCATGTTATAATTCCATAAAACAGCAAAAAAAAAATCATTAGGTGTAGCTAGTTTGTGTATACCATGTAATTTGCCGTTTTGCTATCCATAATTATGATAAAATCCTCATTACATTCTTTTTGCTGTTGTGTTCCCAGCTATCGATATGTTAAATAAAACCAAACTATTGATATCTTTTGAAGTCATACTGGTACATAAGAGAACTGGTGATGGTGATGGGGATTTCGACAGTCTGGTGAAGGGGGTATGGGGACATACTGGGTAAGCCATTGCGAATCTGTAAACTTAAAAAGGTTAAGAACCTCTGAAATGTTGCAATACTGTGATCCACTGCTGGTCGCTGCTCCTCCTGGAGTATACATTCAACATTAAACATCTTCCTGGAAAGGTCAATGGAATCGCAGATACATTGCCGCAAGTGTGTGGCTTACAATCTTAACTTCGCTAAAAGTTAAGGATTTACATTTTGTTTTCTCCCTGGTGGGGAGGCATGTTACAATTAGTTATCCACCAGCTGGAGAGATCATCCACTACCCTACAGAGCTGTTCCCACTTTGTCCAAAGGCCACAACGTTCATCCATCAGGCCTGGAAGAGAATCCACCTCTCCAACTGAGGTGTTCCCGCCACCTGCAGGTGTCGGAGAACTCTTACTCGGGTAACATATGGACTCCAGCAGACAGGACGAAGCGAGTTTCCTTGTAGCAATTATTCAGATCCCCAAGAAGACCTGTTGGCCGTGTTGCTGAGGGCCCGTGACCGGGTGTTGCATGTCTCCATCACGCAATACAATTACTTTCAAACATTTGTGTAAATACAACCCCCTTTTTCTTTAGATTTAATTTCTCGTGTTGTCGTTAGCAACACGTTAGACACGACAATAAATGAGAATTATCTGATAATATTGTGCTCGTGAAAGATAAACGTGATAATTCTATTGTGAATCGAAATTAATCTTATTTTCTACTTCTCTTGAGTTTACATTGTTGTTTATAATCTGTGAGTAAACTAATTACATTTTCTGGCATGATGATTAGAGTCTACAGCAGCTATGGGAGGTACTGGTTATGAAGGGTAGAGATGGTGCTTGTAATTGAGGCCAGCTCCCAGCAGCCCCTAGGAGGTATGCTGGCAGCATGGGGGATAATACTTATGTCTAACATAGCACCGTCTCTCGCAGGATTGCTACAGTGTTCCAGGTCATATCATTTCACTTGAATCCTCTCCTAGTCTGTAGGCTTGTCTGATCTATATACCTGTTGCTGCTAGCAGACTCCTCTATAAACCATTACGTTTGCCACCTGCAACTGGTGTCCGGATCACCATTAACTATTCACTACACTAACTGCAATATTTAAATCAACTTTTCCGAATGGTGACTGTTACCTTTCATAATGATTCATCAGGAATACTATTTTGTAACACTATTCATATCCGAGGATATAACATATATCCTTCACAGTCACACGGTATGGCATCTCCCTCATACTTAGAATGCGTTAAACAAATGTAAAATGCTTTACATCTTTGAATTAAGTGATGCATTTTAAGACATATTTCCCAAATCAAAAACTAACTAAGGATCCCATTAACATTCTCATTTTTCCGAAAGAGGTTTCACCATCCATGAGCTTGCTGCATCGTTAGTCAACCTTCAGTTTAGTCAATGTCTTCCTTCGGGAAGATGAAGACCTTCTGGAGTGAGGACTCGAAGTATGGCGCCTGTCTCATTTCGCATTGATTGGCCAGGAGCCTGACCGTGTTAACGTTGTACTGTGTCCTCCTCAACACGCTCTCTATCGGCTCCTTGTGTCCGTACAGCTTTAGCTGGTCCACCAAGGTGTCCACGTACAGCGAGCCTGAAGGACAACAATCCGGTGAAATGTTACTGTACGTTATTATCAAAATCCGGGAAGGAAGGAAGCAAAGGGTGGGGCTGGTGCGTGAATAATTGTGTCTGGGGAATATAACAGTTGAATGGGTCAACAAAGCCGTACCTTTTTCTCCTCTGGCGGCCTCTTCGTACCATTTGGTGGCGTAGGAGACGAGGGTGTCGGCGAATGGGTTGATATTCCATACATCCTCCGACGGCCCGTATGTGTTTTCCCAACTGCTACTCGAATCCTTGGCCAGTAATGAGCTAGGGCCCGCAGAAGGTGTAAGGTACTCGTCTACGAGAGCTGTCGGTACAACATGAAAATCATAATTAATGCACAATAAGCTAACACGTAGAGAAGAGTTTAATCAATCGTATGATGTACAGTACGGCCTCTGGATCAGGTCTCCTCAAGCATTTGCGTATCCACTTACGAAACCTGTACATCTTTTCTCGACCATGACGGCTTAGTCTGTATTTATTAAACACTTTACGAGCTTCCAAATCCCGTAAGGTCGTTCCCGATCCAAGGTTATTGTTGTTATACACAACCTCGTTAATAAAAACAAACTAAGCAACCATGCTCGAGGAAAGATATACAGGTCTCGTAAGTGGACACGTAATCGACTCTGATACCAGGAACGGTTCAGGTCCACAAGCTAACAACACTGTAAATCAAACATGACAAGGCTGATCACATCAAAACTTTTTTTTACAATTCTGAAGTAGTGTAGATGTTGATCCAGACCACTTCTTTAAAAGGTCAGGTGTAATACACGCAAGGAGCAACAGCTTCGAGCTCAACAAGCCTCACTGCTAGACAGAAAACAAGAGATACTTTTTCACCCATAGGATTATAAACCCATGGAACGGCCTACCCGCCAAAGCCGTAAATGCCAAAAATTACTGCAATTCAGAATCCAGCTGGATGAAATCATCAGGGCAAATGGGGAGCACCTTTGACAAGCCACAGGCTTCCTGTCCCCGTCGAGACCACTAGCGAGATGGTGGCCCTCAGGTAAAATAAAGAATCTCCGTCTCCATGACTGCTTTGGCCTGGTGAGCATTATTAGTGACGGTGACACTGTCAAAAGCCAGATGGTAAACACCTGTCAGCAGCACCACCTGCCGCCCACCTGTTGAACTTCAACAGTGTTAACAACAAGAGGACGCCTGAGACCACAGCCCTCATCACTGTCATCTCAGGAAACTAGTGAAGGTGTCCTCGGCACCATATATAAAGACGTCCTGTCCTGCATCGATTAGATATATCATCTTCTTGCACAATCAAGTAAATATCATTCAAAAGAAGGCACCAAGTCGTGAAGACCAAGTAAGATAATTAAAGTCGCAGGATATTCAAAAGGCGCTTAATATCACTAAGGATGTCAGCACGAGAACGAAAGCACATAAGACGTACGATGTCAAACGTATCGGATTAAGCAAGGATTCTATCGAGGGATAAATTGTAGAGCCACACAAGCAACAAGGACACCTCTAGTTTACTGTGAATAGGGCGACCTTACAAGGAGATCATGTCTGATCAAATATGTCTGACTACATATAATCTTTAATTTTGCAGTACCTAATTAATCCCACTTATAAATTCCACAAAGTAACTTTAACCCAACTCACACATATATCCGTCCTGGACCCTTATCCATCAAATCATGACAATGTTTCAGTCACGGTATAATGACTAACAGTCCCTGCAAAGTGTGTGACTGATGTCAATTTAATATTAAGACGGGCAGGCTTGCCCGTCTTATAACCAAGAGCCACTATACTGGTCTACCCTCTTCGCTGATCTTATACTATTGTGGTAATATTCACACCAGGGTCACCATGCCGCGTTACTTTTATAACCACACATCTGTTAATTATACCTCTTAATTATACACCTGTTAACTATACACCCGCTAGTTATACACCTGTTTATATTTTATTAAGCACAAAAACAAAAGTCTATACTCACCTTGGTCAAAGATGCTCTTGTACCTGACGGCGCAAGCTTGGAAGAAGAAGAGCTTTGGCTTCATAAGCAACCAATCAATTTTGGTGATGGGATCAATTAGTTCCCCCCGCCGGTGAATTTTCCCATCAATCACGTTCACGTAGGTCTTGCTGCCATGACTCATGACCCACACCACCAAGCTGAGAAGTGCAGAGTGTGTCAGGGAGTTGGTGGAGGCGTCATGGACGGTGTGTGACTACGTGCTGCGATAACAACATTTGTAATTTTTGTATAATATAAATTAATAAATTAAGATAAAGTAAGGTAAGGTCATTATAAGGGGAAGGTGATAAGCCTTTATGACTTTCCAGCACTTGCAAGGGATATGAGGAATTAGTGAATTATCAGTAGAAAGCGTCAAGCCATTACGACTATATAGCACTGGGAAGGGGTCAGGATAAGGATTTAGGATGAGACGGGGGGAAGGAATGGTGCCCAATCACTTGGACGGTCGGGGATTGAACGCCGACCTGCATGAAGCGAGACCGTCGCTCTACCGTCCAGCCCAAGTGGTTGGGCCTGGGATATGAGGAGCAGGAGCTGGGATGTGAAAACAAGGAGCCAGACAGAAAGCCTCTACTGGCTTCGTTACCTGTCGTAGAACTGGTTCCTGGATTCCCTCAGTTCGTCGATAACACGCAATACTCTCTCCCTGGTCGGGTCGGTCTCCACGACAACATCGTACTTGAAGACGTTCTCAAATAATTCTTTGACGTTCCTCTGGTCGTGTTGAGCACCGTCTCTGTCCATCTCCACATTCAGGATGATGCAGAGGCCAGGAGGCTTGGAGGCCATGGGGTACCGGTTGACCTGGTCCAGCAGGTCGTCAATGCGAGGGTCAGAATCCCCTCTCATTTTTTTTATTGAGTTAAAGATGTTGGTGAGGGCGTGTGTATAGAGCCGGTTCAAGTTTTTGTGTCTGATCAATGTGAGAATAAAGTAATAGAATGCTGTGTCTTTCAATCCGGGTGTTGTCTTAAGCTCGCGAGAGTCTACCGGGAGGTCCAAATGTTCTTTTACTGTAGCGAAGTCATCTTCTTTGCCCTCTCGGCGCAGGAGCTCGTATATCAGGCATACTTCCTCCTCCTGTAACTTGTCACAAAGCTGCATGATCACTTTATTCTCGGAGTAAACTAAATACTTTTTCTTCCGTTGTGTTCCATCTCTCACGTCGTTGACAGGGACTTTGTTGAAATAGATGATGAACTCAGAGGCCATGCTGATGTCTAGCGGGACCGGGTACCCAAACATGGTCAATATCTCCACGAACTGGAGAATACTAACCTCATCCTCGCTAAGCTGTTGGGCCCGCCTGGTGAAGTCGAGCATCAGGCTGATGTATTTAACAATAGTTAACAGAAACTTGATACTTAGGTCCATACAATATTTCTTGAACTGCTCTCGTAGTTCCGAGACGTCCTTCTTCTCTAAGGCTCTCTGTGAAGTAGAGGGAGAAATAAATTATTTATAAAACGGAAACATTATTTAATTGCTGGGACAATAGCGAAGACAAAGTATATTAGCTGTTATTTTTATAGGGGTCCCACTTCTGGTGCAATTGTAGGGACCCATAGCCTCGGAGAAGAGAATAAATGGAATTCAGAGAACACGTGCTGGTTCTTTCTGAAGACTTGAGTATATTCTTCTACCACCCCAATTTTATATTATATTAATAAATATTTCATTAATTGATATTTACTATTTTATATGAAAGTTCTAAAACAACTGTATTTACAATCTTAAATAGGAATTGTACTTAAAATATGATAAATATGAGAAAATAATGAACTCATACTGTGAGATCGATCCCCGCATGTCTGAACTCCCCAAACACACACACTTTCACTACTCGCGGAGTCCAGGGACTCGGGATCGATCCACACGGCTTCACAATTTTCTCAAAGACATATCACGTTCTTGTGATATCATGGCATATATATATATATATATATATATATATATATATATATATATATATATATATATATATATATATATATATATATATATATATATATATATATATTATTAATATGACCGAAAAAGTAAGATTAATAATTCTAACACGAATTTTCTCAATCTTTCGTACATTTCTTTTCACTGTTGGAGGTAAATCAAAAATCAATTCTCCAAAATTCATTTTTATTTCTAGTCTGACGCGACACGAGCGCGTTTCGTAAAACTTATTACATTTTCAAAGACTTTAGTTTACAAATACACAACTGAATAGAACTTACGCATCTCCGATTTTATATCTACATTTGAGAGAGGTGGCATTAATAGGGTATTAATTGAATCAACACAAGACAGAACACGAAACAATGGGTATTGAATAGAAGTGATTGTAGAAAGCCTATTGGTCCATATTTCTTGATGCTTCTATATTGGAGCGGAGTCTTGAGGTGGGTAGAATATAGTTGTGCATTAATTGGCTGTTGATTGCTGGTGTTGACTTCTTGATGTGTAGTGCCTCGCAAACGTCAAGCCGCCTGCTATCGCTGTATCTATCGATGATTTCTGTGTTGTTTACTAGGATTTCTCTGGCGATGGTTTGGTTGTGGGAAGAGATTATATGTTCCTTAATGGAGCCCTGTTGCTTATGCATCGTTAAACGCCTAGAAAGAGATGTTGTTGTCTTGCCTATATACTGGTTTTTTTGGAGCTTACAGTCCCCAAGAGGGCATTTGAAGGCATAGACGACGTTAGTCTATTTTAAAGCGTTCTGTTTTGTGTCTGAAGAGTTTCTCATGAGTAGGCTGGCCGTTTTTCTGGTTTTATAGTAAATTGTCAGTTGTATCTTCTGATTTTTGTCTGTAGGGATAACGTTTCTATTAACAATATCTTTCAGGACCCTTTCCTCCGTTTTATGAGCTGTGGAAAAGAAGTTCCTGTAAAATAGTCTAATAGGGGGTATAGGTGTTGTGTTAGTTGTCTCTTCAGAGGTTGCATGGCGTTTCACTTTCCTTCTTATGATGTCTTCCACGAAACCATTGGAGAAGCCGTTGTTGACTAGGACCTGCCTTACCCTACAGAGTTCTTCGTCGACTTGCTTCCATTCTGAGCTGTGGCTGAGAGCACGGTCGACATATGCGTTAACAACACTCCTCTTGTACTTGTCTGGGCAGTCGCTGTTGGCATTTAGGCACATTCCTATGTTCGTTTCCTTAGTGTAGACTGCAGTGTGGAAACCTCCGCTCTTTTCCATGACTGTTACATCTAGAAAGGGCAGCTTCCCATCCTTTTCCATCTCGTAAGTGAAACGCAGCACGGAACTCTGCTGAAATGCCTCCTTCAGCTCCTGCAGATGTCTGACATCAGGTACCTGCAGTATATGGCCGGTTTCAAGTCCATGTCGACTAAGACTTTTTTCTCGATGGCAAATAAAAGTCTTAGTCGACATGAATTTACTTATCACGAAATATTCATGAATTAAGTAATTCTTAAAGTTTCTATATAAATACTATTTTAATAATTAAAAATTTTAAGTTTTTTTTAATTATATGCAAAACAATACATTATATATATAAACAATACAAAAAATATAAGTTTTTTTATTTCAAACAATAATAATTTAGTTTAGTTCATTTATTATGCACCCGATACCCATCTTGGGAGCGGTAGTGGAAAGGGTTGCAGAGGCACATAATGGGCTCAGGGACTGAACCCCACAATTCATTTAGCTAAGCAAGTTACAATCTTGATGAGCTAGTTACAAAATTCAGTATAAGACCGTCACATCATCAATGGGTTCGAGAACGACCACAAATACAGTTTCTATATTAAGCAACTGACATATGTGGAGAGCTAGTGTCACAATTGATATGTTTGTCCTGCACACCGCCCCCCATCCAGTGGGTAGCGGTGGATAGCTTACAATCACTTAGTTACTACCTACAGTTAGCAAACTGGTAATATTTGGCTAAATATTCTGGTAGCAGATAATTTTGAATGAAATATTTACACATCGTTGGAACATTGGTTATAGAACAAATAAAAACATTTCTTTTGCATTGTGAGTTCTTGCATGTATACTGGCATGAGAACACAGAGTCTTCCACGCATTGAGTGCTCGTCAGCCTGCATTGAATAATTTGACGCTAAAACTTAAAAAATTAAGCAAACCTTATTAATGAGGTTAATTAGTGTGTTATATTTACGGGAAGAGAGAGTTAGCATCACGTGTCAAGAGGAATAACTGATTCTTAACGAGAAGTTATTATCACTGTTTTGACCATCAGGACAATTCTTTCTGTTTGTGAATAACAAAGCAAGTCTTCTATATGGTTCTTCCTAACAGATAACGTCCTCATAGTTTTTTTTATTAAGATTTAAAAGCCTTATTTGAGTGAACTATTGAAATTATTACAGTTGTGGCTGGAGTGAACATTTGTTCACCAAATGAAAACGTCATTATTTACAATTCGAACGGTGACTCTTACATTGAAGAGCAAATAACATTAAAATGATGACTAATACGGAACATAATGCAAGTACATTCCAAATTTCACATGGATATCTGAGAACATATTATAATATATACTGCATATATAAAAATATATACAACAGAGATATGAGATGCTTTTTCACCTCCACATGGTTTTAAACCCATAGAAATTAGTACCTGCCCAAGTCCTAAATGTCAAAACTCTGTTGTGTTTCAAAATATACCTGGAGAGATCATCATGGCAAAAGAAGGGACCTTCGACAAGCCGTCGGCTTCCTGTCCTCGTCGAGGCCACAAGAGTTAGCAGCTATCAGGAAATCAGATAACAAAAAAAAAAAGGCAATTAAATATATATTTTACAATTGAAGGCCATATTATTGTGTTAAAAAAATTATGTATTATTATACGATTTTATTAATATAATGTATTAATTCACATATTGCTTAAAGAAAATTAAATTTTTTAATGAATAAAATAGTATTAATATAGAAACTTCAAGAATTATTTATTGTATAAATATTTTCAATTAAGTAAAACATTCATAATCTATATGCCTTGGTTATTCCGACGTACATTATATTTTTGAAGCACTTAGGTGCTAAAATCCTTAGTAAATATGTTTATATATTTTCATAGTAGGTTTGGCTTTGATAACTAATATCAGTGCTGAGCCTACTGTTAACGGTAGTTACACAGCATCAACATTATATGAGGTAGTGTAGCTATCAGGGCCCAGATTCACGAAGCAGTTACGCAAGTACTTACGAACGTGTACATCTTTTCTCAATCTTTGATGCCTTTGGTTACATTTATTAAACAGTTAACAAACATGAAAACTTCCCAATCAACGGTTGTTATTGTTATAAACAGCCTCCTGGTGCTTCGGAGCTCATTAACTGTTTAATAATTGTAAACAAAGCCGCCAAAGATGTACAGGTACATCTTGTGCTTGCGTAACAAGTTCGTGAATCCGGCCCCAGACCTGTTATCATCGATAACACACTCGCCCCGTCTCTTACCAGCAATTTGGTGGGCTTGGTTCGAATCCTGGACTGGGCGTCTAACCTATCCTAACGTAACCTAAGCTTGCTTAACATAATTTAGTAATTCATGTCCTAATATAATAATAATAGCAAGAAATAACCAAATTGGAAAGAAATATATGAAAAAAGATGAAAATCGTTCTGTTTGCAGGCGATGAGTCACAATAACGTGGCTAAAGTATGATCACCAGACCACACACTAGAAGGTGAAGGGACGACGACGTTTCGGTCCGTCCTGGACCATTCTCAAGTTGATTGTGAATGGTCCAGGACGGATCGAAACGTCGTCTTCCCTTCACATTCTAGTGTGTGGTCTGGTCATCATCGTTCTGTTTGTTTGGCAAATCGGGTCTTTGCTGGTCCAAGTAATGTTGTCCTGCTATTACGAGCGACACACACACACAGTGGACGTCTGGACACACGCCCCGGGTCCGCCGGGTCACGTGAAGGGATTGTACCCTCTTGGTCTCGATACTGCCATCAGGCATGTGCTTATTTAACGGTCCGGATTGTGGCGTCTTCGGCCTGGGGGACAGTCAATGTGTGGCTTGTCTGGGAGTTGTTGGGCTCCTGGTGGGCCCTGGGGGCGTGGTGGGCTCCTGGTGGGCCCTTGGGGCGTGGTGGGCTCCTGGTAAAACGAAGGGACAGTGGCCCTTGATTGGAAAGATCCAAATGTTACCCCTTTCCTCCCCCCCCCCCCCCAAAAAAAAAGCAGAAAGAGCTCAGCAGGAAACTTCCGGCCGATCAGCTTGACATCACACATCTGCAAGCTCATGGGGAGAATCCTCAGGAAGGGAATCATTCACTATCTTTCAGTGAACAATCTTGTACAATCGTCACAACATGGGTTTGTTGAAAACAGATCCCGCCTTACAAACCTGCTCTTATTTGTGGAAACGGTATCCAGCTACTCAGACAAAAGCCTTCCGGTGGATGTAATAAACATGGATTTTGTTAAAGCATTTAATGAGGTACCACATGAAAGACTGGCAAGGAAATTACAGGCCCATGGAATAAATGGTCAAATATTAGAGTGGATAAAACAATGGTTGAAGGGAAGAAAACAAAGGGTCGTGCTGAATGGAAACGAATCTGAGTGGAGGAATGTGGTAAGTGGGCTGCCTCGAGGGTCCATTCTGGGACCAACTCTTTTTTGACCAGACCACACATTAGAAGGTGAAGGAACGACGACGTTTTGGTCCGTCCTGAACCATTCTCAAATCGATTGTGAGAATGGTTTCTCATTCTCACAATCGACTTTAAAATGGTCCAGGACGGACCAAAACGTCGTCGTCCCTTCACCTTCTAGTGTGTGATCTGGTCAAACTACTTCAGCCACGTTATTGTGACTTATCGCCTGCACAAACTCTTTTTTTTTGTCATATATATTAAAGACAGATGAGAATATTACAAAGCACATCATCCAATTTGCAGATGACAAAGATTTATGAAAAAGTAGGAAATTTTAATGATACAAAAGTGCTAAGTCATCTTTCGTATCAGGAACGGTTGAGGGCCACAGGGCTATCAACACTGCAAATCAGGCATGGCAGGGCGGATCTTTATTTATTTATATATTTATAGAAGAGTTGTTACATGGTTGTAAAGCCACTAGCACACATAGCGTTTCAGGCAAGTCCCTAATCATAATTTTCCCCTGAAAACGATCCGCCAAATCGTTTACCAACCAAGTACCTAATCACTGCTGGGTCAACAGAGGCTGCATTTAAGGATTGGCGCCCAGTCAATCCTCCCAGGCCAAGACACTCGCGAAACGCAAGGCAAGCGTGTTTCCACTTCGCCACGGGGACTGCCTAAAGTTATCATCTCAGTGAAACATTTAAAATACTAAAAAGTTAGAGAATGTTCATCCGGATATTTTATTCAGAAGATCAGATGTAACACAAACAAGGAGCAACGGTATCAAGCTCAACAAGCCACAGAGTGGGGCCCACCAGGATCCCATCATGCCCCGAGGGCACACCAGGAGCCCACCACGCCCCGAGGGCACACCAGGAGCCCACCACGCCCCGAGGGCACACCAGGAACCCACCACGCCCCAAGGGCACACCAGGAGCCCACCATGCCTCGAGGGCACACCAGGAGCCCACCAACTCCCACAGGTACCTACCAGTGGACGAGTCAATCGGGATGATAGCCGACAGAGTGTATCGTGATCCAGCCTGTACTCCTCTTGACATACCAGAAAATATCCTAAGGAAACTACTCCAAGCTTGTACTAAAGAGGCACCCTTCTTGAGCCCGGATGGGCACATGTATAAGCAAGTAGATAGGGTCGCCATGGGTTCTCCCCTAGGTGTCCTGTTTGCGAACTTCTACATGGGTACCATCGAGCAAAAAGTCTTAGTCGACATGAACTTGAAACCGGCCATATACTGCAGGTATGTTGACGACATTTTTACACAGGTACCTGATGTCAGACATCTGCAGGAGCTGAAGGAGGCATTTGAGCAGAGTTCCGTGCTGCGTTTCACTTACGAGATGGAAAAGGATGGGAAGCTGCCCTTTCTAGATGTAACAGTCATGGAAAAGAGCGGAGGTTTCCACACTGCAGTCTACACTAAGGAAACGAACATAGGAATGTGCCTAAATGCCAACAGCGACTGCCCAGACAGGTACAAGAGGAGTGTTGTTAACGCTTATGTCGACCGTGCTCTCAGCCACAGCTCGGAATGGAAGCAAGTCGACGAAGAACTCTGTAGGGTAAGGCAGGTCCTAGTCAACAACGGCTTCTCCAATGGTTTCATCGAAGACATCATAAGAAGGAAAGTGAAACGCCATGCAACCTCTGAAGAGACAACTAACACAACACCTATACCCCCTATTAGACTATTTTACAGGAACTTCTTTTCCACAGCTCATAAAACGGAGGAAAGGGTCCTGAAAGATATTGTTAATAGAAACGTTATCCCTACAGACAAAAATCAGAGGATACAACTGACGATTTACTATAAAACCAGAAGAGCGGCCAGCCTACTCATGAGAAACTCTCCAGACACAAAGCAGAACGCTTTAAAAGAGACCAACGTCGTCTATGCCTTCAAATGCCCTCTTGGGGACTGTAAGCTCCAAAAAACCCAGTATATAGGCAAGACAACATCTTTTTCTAGGCGTTTAACGATGCATAAACAACAGGGCTCCATTAAGGAACATATAATCTCTTCCCACAACCAAACCATCGCCAGAGAAATCCTAGTAAACAACACAGAAATCATCGATAGATACAGCGATAGCAGGCGGCTTGACGTTTGCGAGGCACTACACATTAAGAAGTCAACACCAGCAATCAACAGCCAATTAATGCACAACTATATTCTACCCACCTCAAGACTCCGCTCCAATATAGAAGCATCAAGAAATACGGACCAATAGGCTTTCTGCAATCACTTCCATTCAATACCCATTGTTTCGTGTTCTGTCTTGTGTTGATGAACTTAATACCCTATTAAATACCACCCCACCCCATCCACCTCACTCAAAATGTAGATATAAACAAATCGACGATGTGTAAGTTCTATTCAGTTGTGTATGTGTTAACTAAAGTCTTTGAAAATGTAATAAGTTTTACGAAACGCGCTCAAGTGTCGCGTCAGACTAGAAATAAAAATGAATTTTGGAGAATTCATTTTTGAATTACCACCAACAGTGAAAAGAATCGTACGAAAGATCGAGAAAATTCGTGTTAGAATTATTAATCTTACTTTTTCGGTCATATTTAATAATATATGTCTACAGGAAAGACTGCTACCAAAATATACCAATATATATATATATATATATATATATATATATATATATATATATATATATATATATATATATATATATATATATATATATATATATATATATATATATATATATATATATATATATATATATATATATATTTCGTCCTATCGCATACGACCAGATGAGTGTAACTCGCCTTGAAAGCAATGACAGTGGTGACCTTGGGCTCCTTATCCTGGTTGTTGGTATCGTCAAGCTGCGCCACCTGAATAAAAAACACCACTATATATGTCTACTGGCTGGAAGAACATCTTATCTTAGTCTATTGCGCTCTCCATAACGAAAGGAGTGGGTTTACGTTTAAGGATTGTCTGGTGACCTTTCTTAGGATTGCCTATTGACCTCTCTGGGTTGTGTGATGAGTCTTCCTTTACCACCTGCCTGGGGCTTCCTAGTGATGACCTCTCTCACCACCTACCTTGCTCGGGTTGGTACAGAGGAAGAGGATCTTGGGCAGGTCTTCATCTCTGACCAGTTCGTAGACCTCCTTAGACGTGTTACTGAGGACGTGTGGTTGGTCACCTGTCGAGGACAAAGAGTTGTTTGTGTTACTCTCCTCGACTCAATAAATAATTTATATCACGCCTGTAACGCTTTATGATAATTGTAAGGCGATAATATATATTTGTACAATCATTGAACAAATTTTCACAATAATTTATCAATATTTGCACAATCACTAATCATAAAAGATTTTGCATTTAGACTCTGCAACATCTTATAATATGTTTTTTTTCAGTTTGATCTGCAAGATGTGCTAAACTAACTCTTCAGGTGAAAAAAAATAATATTTAAGATTTATGTCCTTAATTTTTCTTCCAAAAACGAACCACTGGCTGTGGCCTGATTTCCAAATCACACATGATGAATAACCCAGGCGTTGTTTAAATGATGAATAAAGGACAGCTATATATTCCACTATATGAATAAAGGACAGCTATAGGCCTATAAGCTCACGATAGGCAGCACCAGTTTATGCTTAACCCAACCCGTGCCAACCAAAGAATGGCCAAGATTACAAGTTTATCGTACTGATAAAACTTTGAATCACTGATTATTTTCAGCGGTAAACCGGACATAGACACGTATTAAGTAATGTTATCTAAAGCATAGAGTAACTTTAGCCTGACTTAGCACCACAGATCTCTCACCAACTTAATCTAGTTTGGTTTGGTGTTCAGGCCATTGAACCTTTGGAGGCCACCTTTGGAGGCCACCACAAGTCCTTACTAACCAACCAGAAAGAATAATTTGTATCTGAATATAGTTCAAGACTAGAGTAAACCCCAAAAAAAATACTTCTGGCTCAACCCAGGATGCCATCCACAACAGTTGCCTAACTCCCGGATATTTATTTTACCAACCATGTCTGTCCTGGTCCCGAGGATCGGACCCGAGTCTCTTGATATCGAGCTGAGAATGTAGACCATTTCTCTACAAAATTTTGAAACTCTCGGTATTAGTCAGAACTTTCAACAATAAGTACGAGCTGTAGACATTTCGTTTGAGAAAGGATCTAAGGATAGAATCGTACGGATACAGGGTTGTGGAATGTGGATGAGAGGACGGGGCTGTTGGGTAATATTATTGAGACAATTTAACAGGTTCCAAGAATAAAATTGAAATGGGATGTAGGTGAGAGGGGGCCGGACTCAACATGTACAAGGGTGAGAGGAGTGGGTGGATTTATAAATAAATAAATAATAAATAAATAAATGTTTATTTAGGTAAGGTATATACATACAAGAGATTTTACAAAGTTTGTTGGATTAATAGATAGAGCTAGTACATACAATGCCTAAAGCCACTATTACGCAAAGCGTTTCGGGCAGGAAAAACATTAATGACTAAAGAATAAATTCCCCTTGGCCTACCGAGTATGGACCCATACACCTGCTGCAATGTTCCTTAATTATTACGTACTGAAGTGTAGTTGTCATTTACCTGAAGGAGAAGGTGAGGCGGCCATGATGGTGGCTCAGAGTGCATACTGGAGCCTCAACCTCTACAGTCTGTGGCACTTTGCAATCTTATCTTCGCCAAGATACATGTTATCGAATCATAAAAATGACAATCAGCGAACGTATTGTATATTTAACTCAGTGGGAGGAAGGTAGGATTTCCGTTGCTGCCTGTTCCAACCCTCTCTCTCTACCTACCTATTGTCCCCTTCCTTCACCTACCCATCCCTACCCTCCTCTCTACCCATTTCTACCCTATATTCTACCCCATTCCTATTTCTCTCCACCCTACTGACCGCCAGATTTAAAATAATCAATTTTTTTTAACAAAAATACTTGATGGGAAAAAAAGGAAACCTAATTTTGGTGTTATTCATAAAAGGTCAAATTGGGCAGGAAATTGCTTTTGACACACCGGGGAATTAACTGTTGGACGATACCAGAAACCTGATTGAATATGGGGGATGAGAATATATATATATATCAATATCTATACTATAAAAGACAATGTATTTTTTTTACTATGTTCGCTTGTCTGTATAAAGTTGGAGGCCAGACGCCAGGGGCTAACCTCCCGCAAATTTGCAGGGGAAATGGTCTAGGGTACGGGACGAACATAGGCTAGTCAGAGTCGCCAGGATTCAAGAGGGAACAGCGTGCCAGAGCCACATTGTGACCGCAATTTGTGGCACTGTCCGCCCGCTACACCAATAAAAACTATTTTGAAAATTAAATTTCAAAAATATTTTTAGTACAGAGATATGCACCATTATGAGGAGGGGAAAATGAGAGGGAAGAGAGGGGAGTGGGCGAGAAAAGGGTAAAGAGGAGGGAAATGGGAAGGGGATGGAAGATTAACTGTCCCGGGCACCGCCGGGAATCCCTCCTGCTATATAAATATGTCTGTCAGTTTCTCTGACAGATGGAATGTCTGTTTTCTCAATTTGAGAGGACTTGATGATGGGGAGAAAAGGGAAGAAATGGGAGAGTATGGGTAAAGGGTGGATAGGAAACATGAGAGGTAAGGGGAGAGGAAAAGGTGAGAGTATAAAGGGGAAAGAGGAGGGGAAGTGGGAAGGGAGAGAGAGAGAGAGAGAGAGAGAGAGAGAGAGAGAGAGAGAGAGAGAGAGAGAGAGAGAGAGAGAGAGAGAGAGAGAGAGAGGGAGGGAGGGGGGGGGGGGGGTCAGAAGAGGCAGTGCAGGGGATAGGGGAAGGAACAGGTCGTGTGTAGTGAAAATGCAACCTGTACTCAGGCTAGGCTCGTTAAAGCGGAAGCATTCTCACCAAGACCCATTCATTAGTTTTAACACACTGGGTATTAAAAATAGGTTTATTCTCATGTAAGGTTATATTATTATATATTAAAGTTCTATGTATAGTTAGGCGTAGATCAGTTGTTTAGGTTCTGTTGGCAATTATTTGTATTTGAAGTACATGGGTGAAGCATTTACACCAACCTGTCCTCAGACCAAGTCTATTCCATCCAGCGGACGACCCCAAAGTCGCATTCATAAATTGTAACATGCTGTTCATTCAAAACAGGAATTTTCTCAAATAAATTAATATTATTTTACAATACCATATTTTGCATATTTAGGCACTGGTTAGGTTAGGTGTTTAGGTTCTGTTGACGATTATTTGTATTTGTAGTACGTGGATGAAGCATTTACAGCGTTGTGGTTCGAACAAAATTCGTCAGTGAAGCACTTGTTCCGGAAGTGTTCGAACACTTGCTCCGGAAGTGTTCGAACGTCATCAGTCGTGTATAAACCGTTTTTTCATTCATAAACAGGGGGGGGGGAGGGTTGGCCTGTGCATGCAAAGACCCAATGACTTAACTTTGGGTCTTTGTTAAGAGAACCAGCTGTTTACGGCGGTGTGATTCGAACAGAGGACGTCATTGAAGCACTGTTTTAGAAATGTTCGAACGTCATCAGTTGGAGTCGTGTGTAAACCGTTTTTCATTCATAAACAGGTGGTTTACGGCTAGATTAACGAGCATTTGACAATTGTTGATGAGGACGGGCTGTGAAAATGGCACCTGGGTGAATAATTAATGAGGCTGGGAGTCGAGCATAGGAACTAAGCGAAGCGGTGTTAGAGAACAATTTGAACGTAATCAGTTGTAAGTCACGAGTAATGAGTTTTTCATTCACAAACGAATTTTGGCGGCTGGAATAATGAGCATTCGGCTAATGTTTGGATATCGGGGCTGCTTTGTTGGGAGGATGAACAGAAAAATTTAGAGTGAGGTTTTGTCATAGTTCCACGAGGCTTCGAAGCTTCGAAACAAACGGCCATTTTTGTTTTTAGGAGAGAAGGCGCCCTGCTGCTAGATCTGTTTCACTTCGTCTCATGTGTCACACAGATGAACATCAAAACTTATTTACACTAGTGTGTCGTAGTGCATTTAGTACCGAGTTTTGAAAGATGGATTACCACTGTCAACAGAGGAATGGATCCTCCATGAGATCATTTTATTTGAGCCGTAACGCCTCAGCATTTGTCGAAGCCGTCGTCAAACCTCAAGGTCAGTTAATTGCAGGTTTCAGGGCTGTAGCTCCCAACACTGTGGTCTATACAGACAGGCCCAAGAGTAGTGTGCTATCGAAAGACCAAACCTGTTACCCTGGGGTATATAGGCCAACTGGCGAGGCCCCCGTAATCAAAACTACGAGCTTGCTAAACTACCTCATTGGTGCATTGACAATGTTTTTAAATGACACGACAGAACAACTTCCAGTATATGAATATCTGTAGTTTTAATCTCATCATTTGTACTCGCGGATCGCAGCACTGGGATCTTGGGGTTTGTAGTTCTAAGTTTATTTTTTAGATGACTATACTGTCCTAATGTATGTGGCTGAGTCCTGGGGAGTGTGTATGTGTGTGTGTTAGGGGAGATGGGGAGGGAGTGTGTGTGTGTTAGGAGAGATGGGGAGGGAGTGTATGTGTGTTAGGGGAGATGGGGAGGGAGTGTGTGTGTGTTAGGAGAGATGGGAAGGGTGTGTGTGTATGTTAGGAGAGATGGGGAGGGAGTGTGTGTGTGTTAGGAGAGATGGGGAGGGAGTGTGTGTGTGTTAGGAGAGATGGGGAGGGAGTGTGTGTGTGTTAGGAGAGATGGGGAGGGAGTGTGTGTGTGTTAGGAGAGATGGGGAGGGAGTGTGTGTGTGTTAGGAGAGATGGGGAGGGAGTGTGTGTGTGTTAGGAGAGATGGGGAGGGAGTGTGTGTGTGTTAGGAGAGATGGGGAGGGAGTGTGTGTGTGTTAGGAGAGATGGGGAGGGAGTGTGTGTGTGTTAGGTGAGATGGGGAGGGAGTGTGTGTGTGTTAGGAGAGATGGGGAGGGTGTGTGTGTATGTGTGTTAGGGGGAGATGGGGAGGGAGTGTATGTGTGTTAGGAGAGATGGGGAGGGTGTGTGTGTGTTAGGGGGAGATGGGGAGGGTGTGTGTGTGTTAGGGGAGATGGGGAGGGTGTATATGTGTGTGTTAGGGGAGATGGGGAGGGTGTGTGTGTGTGTTAGGAGAGATGGGGAGGGTGTATATGTGTGTTAGGGGAGATGGGGAGAGTATATGTGTGGTGGGTGATGGGGAGGGGTGTGTGGAGGGGAGATGGGAAGACTGTGAAACCAGACCAGTAAGGGGTGTGCAGGAGTCGTGTGGACACAGGGTCGACCCGGGCACCGCCGTATACCCCTATCAACTATTATCATTGACTACGACAGAAAGGGTGAGACCAATGACTCCAGCATGTATCTTCTCTGTATCTCTAATGGTCTCCACTTGAGAAGGAAGTTGATAAATTAACTCTCTAAAGGTGTTAATTTATACAGTTCTTGTTGACCAGACCACACACTAGAAGTTGAAGGGACGACGACGTTTCGGTCCGTCCTGGACCATTCTCAAGTCGATTGTCTTGTCGATTGACCATTCTCAAGTCGATTGATTGAAACGTCCTCGTCCCTTCAACTTCCAGTGTGTGGTCTGGTCAACATATTTCAGCGACGTTATTGTGACGACGTTTCGGTCCGTCCTGGACCATTCTCAAGTCGATTGTCTTGTCGATTGACTATTCTCAAGTCGATTGTCTTGTCGATTGACCATTCTCAAGTCGATTGATTGAAACGTCGTCGTCCCTTCAACTTCCAGTGTGTGGTCTGGTCAACATACTTCAGCCACGTTATTGTGACTCATCGCCTGTATACAGTTCTTATTATGGCCTGATAGAGATACGTTTCACTGACCCTTGTCAGCATTGTCAAAGGCAGAGTAGAAATTAACACAATTTAGCTGCTTTGTTTGTTGTTGTTGTATAAGATTTAGCTACTCAGAACGAAATGTCCACAATTTAGTTGTTGTATTCAGCTACTGGGAACAAAAACACAATTTAGCTGTAGCAACGGAATATATAGCCGAGAATGAAGTGATATAAGGTATTACATGAGCCAATAGGGTCTCTGCATCCTCCTTACTTCCTTATGTTCTTATGACGGCTGTGATAAGTGTGCTGGATCTTCAAGTCTTGGACTTGAAGATGGTAGAATGTATCTGATTGTTAGCTGCCTGTTTATAGTGGGTTGAATTTGATACTTTATCGAAAAAATTTTTTTATACAGTAATCCGGGGTTGAAATTTAGGAGAGAAATGTTGGGGTGAGCTGCAGCCTGAGTAACCGGTGAGCCTAAATGTAACATACGAAGAGAGTAAAAACCATTCTTTCATCCATTTACTAGCTGGTTGGTTCGGGTCCAGTGGCCAGCCCACCCACTTTTCCCTTTCCCTTTCTCTCTCTCTCTCTCTCTCTCTCTCTCTCTCTCTCTCTCTCTCTCTCTCTCTCTCTCTCTCTCTCTCTCTCTCTCTCTCTCTCTCTCTCTCTCTCTCTCTCTCTCTCTCTCTCTCTCTCTCTCTCTCTCTCTCTCTCTCCTCTTCCCACCCTCCTTCAGAAGGGTTTTCGTATCGAGAGTGACCATCAACCAGCTCCCTCGGCTCCTCGTATCCAGCGGCTCCCCTTAACGAGTATTTAACGAGCTGCTTCGCAAGTCATTGATTGCAATTCGCCCACTGC